TCGATCCAGCTCGCAGAATTGACAGGGGAATGGCTATGCACCCGAGTGAACGGGTGGCGTCTGAAGAAATTCTGGTTTTCTCCTCTCCTCTTGACTTCCGACCTTCAGACTTGCGACTGTGCTTGCGTTTATCCCTCTCGTTGTCCTTCGACCTCGTTTTCGTCCGGCCACACTTTGTACTCTTCTTTCTTGTCCGAGCTTAGATCGACTTGGTTAACATGAACATCTTCCTTAGCATGTGGTGTCACTCATCGCACGGTAGGTTGGACGGTCGGGGGTTGATCACATTCCACCGTTGTATGCCCTAGCTTCCGATAGTTGCTGCACATCAGCACATACCCTGTTTGCCTTTTCGGGTGGGGACAGTTGGGTGAGTAGTGACCCACTTCTCCGCTATAGTAGCAGGCTTGAGGTGGTGGCCGGTTAAACATTCCCGGTGGTGCCATGCGCCTTTAAGGTAACATGGTTGCCATGTCCCTCGGGGTAAATCACGGTATTTGCACCAGTTGAATGGGGGTTGTGGATGGGGTCGACTGGATCGCGTAGGCCACATCCTCACTCGTCTCTCCATAATATGGGGGATTCTCCCACTGTGGTGTCTAGCCGATTGCGTTCACTGGATAGGATGGCCAAGTGAACAGGCATTCCGCGTTGGCATGCCCCACTTGACCGCACGTGGTACACCAGAAATTTGCCCGCAACCTCATTGGTGATTTCCGTCGGTCTTGGCCGCCCACTACGTGAACTTTCAAGTCCGCAAAATCCTGCACCAAAGTTTCTATCTTGGACGCGATGTCTCTTGGACTTTTTTCCGAGGTTGCCTTTCTATAGCCTTTCTTCTTCGGCGCGGCGCATTTCTTCCTCTTTCTGTTTTTCTCCAACAAGGAAGTCTTCTGCTCTTCTGACGAAGTGCTACCTTTAGCTGAGGAAGGTTTTTTCGACGAAAGCGTAGCTCCTCTTCGCTTCCTTCGTCCTCCCTTCGACTTTCGACCTGCCGGTTCTCTTCGCTCTCTCCCTCTCCGGTTGAGCGTGGAGGTCTCGAAGGCCTCCGCCGACATTACGATGTCTTCGATGGTATCGCACTTCCCTTCATCTACAAAATGTTTCCATCTCCCGTGGTAACCCAGTCACATACCAGTCCACCGCTTGCTGGACGGAGAAAAGGACTCTTGCTCCCATCTCCGGAATTCTATCAAGGAGATCTTGGAATCTCTCCGTATAGTCACGAAGATTCTCCTTTCGTTCTCGCTGGAAGCTACGTAGTTTGGTTAACACGCGACTGTCGTAGCCAAGCTCGCGGAACCGCCGCATGAATTTCTCCTTCAGCTAAGCTCACGTCTGCAGACCATTTGGGTCGGTACTCTTGTGGTTGTACAAACTGCGTGCCTTTTAGCGCAGTAGGCTGGGAAAGATCCAGAACCTATCATTGTCACACTTCTCGCGGTTGGTAGTCGACACGGATTCAAAAAGTTTGATATACGAGTTGGCATCGTCATCATCCTTGCTCCCCTTGTACTTTGGATACGAATGTCTCGTGAAAAGCTTAGAGAACAATTGATGAGGGTTGACTTGTCCGTCAGCCATTGGGAAATCTGCAGATGTACCCTGGTCGGTTTGATCTAAGTTTAGAAAGGATTCTGCGGAAGTTATTTCTAACAGTATGGTTAGCAAAAAGTTCTACTCGGATGCACTGGATGATTCTCCGTCAGTGGCGTTGGTCGAGCTGGGCTTGGGTAAAGTCTCCAATGTTTTAGTTTTCTCTTTCTAACGCCGTGTTTCTTAGACGGCTTTCTCTTAATCTCAACGGAGTTTTCGTGTGGCTCGCGCACTTAGTATGCTCACGCCTTCTTCCGTCGACATTCACCGAGCATTGCTACTCACGTACTCTGGTGCTAACGCACTATCCCCGGCAACGGCGCCAAAAAGAAGTTTCGAGATTTTTTCCAAAATATTTCAGGATTTTTTCTTTGAAGATTTTATACGCCAGCGGCGCAGGAGAAGTCCCATATCAAATATGAAAAAAAGAAGCGAGAATATTTGACATTAAAAAAAAATTATTAAAAAATAAAAAATCCTCTGCTAATTTTATAATCTTTCATATAAATATAAACTTTGCAATCTATTTGTTATGGGTCAATAACATTGAATATATTCATCGGATATTAAAAATTTATAAAATAATTATATTGATTATAATAATTAAAGATAAAAATTTTGAATAATAAATTTTTTGAATTCACTAAAATATTTATTAATTTTAATATTAAATCAATACTTAAAGTGAATATTTATACATAAAATTTTTGAATGAAAAAAAAATATCAAATTTGATATAATAGAATAATTTTTATAAAATAATTCTAGTTTGAAAATTTTTGATTTAACTAGGAAAAATAAATAATTTATTTAATTTTAAATTCTTTATTTATCAATATATTATATTTTATTATAATTTATTTTATATCATTACTAAGTAGATTTTACTTATTTAAATCATAAATATCTTATCACATTATATGATTTAAAAATTATATAAATAAATGTATAAATAAATGTTTTAACAAATAAATTAACAATATAAATAAATTTTTTAACATTATTTCTTTATTAATTATGAGAATGTTCATGGATATATTTTCAGTGTACTACTAAAATTGTATTGTAATTACATCATTATATGTTTGCTATCACAAACGATATGTCCTCTATTCCCCAATATATGATTTAAAAATTATATAAATAAATTTATAAATAAATATTTTAACATATACATTAACAGTATAAAAAAATGTTTTAACATTATTTATTTATTAATTATGAGAATGTTCACAATATATTTTCAGTGTACTACTAAAATTGTATTGTAACTAAATCATTATATGTTTGCTATCATAAACGATATGTCCCCTATTCTCAAGAAACTCACGGGGGCGAAAGTAATGAAGGAAAGCTATTTATAGCGTGTTCTCGGAACAGAATGGTGGCCAACTACATTCCGGCTATCGGAACAGATCGTCCGTCGACGGCCAAGGTACCCAAAAGGTATGTGAGACTGCGAGAAAAGGCGATGGGCAATCCGTCACTACGGTCAGTACTGCCCACGAGCGACGAGACAAGCGTTTGTTTCGACAACTAACTCTCCCTTTGGACGAAGAGAATGTGTCAGCTTCGTCCTCCGAGCTCCACTCCCTCGCTCCTCCTCTCACCTACTCGCACTCGCCTCTCTCTCGTACTCCTCGGATTCGCCCCTGGATGTCTCGTTTGGATTTTGGGTGTGATTAAGCCCCCGCCTCGTGGCGATTTTGCTTTCGACCGGGAATTGGAGAGTGTCTGCGCAGCTGGATGCATACGCTTCTTGATTTTCTTCAGGATGGAATTCCTAAGAGGTACATCTTTTGTAATTCCATATGTTATCATGTTCATGAAGATTTATCTCTTTACCCGTTCAAATTAACTTAAGTTACTTCAAACAAAATCGAGTTATGGAAAGCAATGTCACTCAATATCATAAAATTATGAAAATAGCAACTTTGTTTTAAAATATTCGAAACAACGTGGAATCACTCATATACTTCATACGCTAGTACGAAGAGAGAAACACGAAGAAGGTGCACTGAACATAGTCTTCATATGGATCCTACTTTTTGTCACCGTCGGGTCTTGACATCTATTTTACTGTATAGGTTACTGAACATATGTTATTTATATACATATACATACATGCCTGCTGTAGGATAAATGGAGCGAGGGATCAGATTTGACCACAGAAAAAAGTCTTCGGCTTCTAAACTAACAAAGTCAACATACTGCAAAGATTACCTTTTCCATGTTTTAGATCAAGTCGTACATAGCGAACTTGGATAACCTTCCTCTCTCATGCAGCAAGTTTCTAGCCACACATGATTCAGAATGCTGTAAGTCAAGATTTAGTCAAAAAAACTGGATAAGACTATGTAAGATGACTTTCCATGGCATGGAACGACTCTGGATGGACTATTTAATGTGACCTCTGACAATGATTAATCTCTGTGAAAGTTGTTGATTTCATGTCAACCAGTTCTGGATGACATACTTCATCCTAACAGAAGGAAACAAAGGCTCATGGCCCACATGACCATCCAAGCGTTATGAATGGGACATGTTTTAAGTAACATCTCTAGAGCATACTTGGAGCAGGCTCTCGGGCGACAAATATTGCTTTCGAATGATCCATTGTATTGTGGCATAGTGATATAGCATACTCAACCAAAGCCCCCGATCACGGGACTAATGTAGGAATTCACAATATGAATAGCGAATTTCCCAAAAACCAAGCCGGCTATATTTGCACGGAAGCACAGCTTGACTCAATCTCTTCCCTGTACGGAGGCCAACATGAGGTTTTCTGGATATTTTATCGGCCACAATTTACTACGTGATAAACCTGGATACCACCAAAAGTTCGGGGAGTGTATTGAAACCCCTGAGTAAGTCGTTTGTCTTCAAATGTAAGATGTCTACTGAAGTCATGAAGATGCCATGAAGAGCAACTAGAGTTTGTATGCAGACATGCGCGAGTACTTTTTCACTTCGAGTCCGAGGTGTAAAGTTGGTCTGAATGGTGAAGGGTTTAGATGAGGAGATGCTAAAGCCCCTGCCACTGCGGAGTACCTAAACTTGTAGGTGAAGGTCGTTGGTAGTGGATAGCAGTTTGAAATTCGTGTGTCCTGTTCTCATGCAACAAGTTTGCACCAAGAGGAAAAAAAACACTTTTTTGTTTCGATGATGTTTGTGGGCATGCATGACGTTTCAACACATGCTGGTTTGAACTATTGCTTTTTGAGTTATGTGGGAACGTCTTAAAGGAGCGACTCTTCCAATCAACAGGGAACAACTGTGTTACTCATTGACCCTGTATGTTCTGAACTGTTGACTGTCCAGCCCAAACACTGTTCTATTCGCTGCTCACAAATCTGTCATTCTTCGACACACTTGTTTCATCCAAGGGTCTTCCAAGTACAGGGAAAATTTTCACTGCTTTTTTATTAGCCAATCTGCTCAAAATGAGTGGTCATATGGTTATATGTCATGTGGTTATATAACTATCTTCTGAACTGTTTCTCCTTAGAACGTAAGGCATGTCACAGGATTATTGAGGTTGGTCCTACTGGAACGACCTGGAGACGCGATGATGATACACTTAGCAAGCTAGTCCTTTTGAGTGAACAATTTCTTGGAGCCCTGAATTAGCAGGAAGTACATTTATTGCAGAAACATCAAGTTGATTGTAGGAACCTTGTAGAACCTCTCTTGAAAAATGCAGAAAATCTAAGAGTTCATTGTGCACTGGGGTTTCTTCTCTTCTTTTCACGTACTTTCATACTACTTTAGTTGCGAAAAGACTCGGCCGGGAGCCTGAGCAACCACCGCGCACTCCGGATGCGATAAGATTCAAGCGTCTTCTTGCAAGGTGGATGAAAGAAAGGCTTTCGACACGAATGTCGATACGGAAAAAGATCGAAGAGCGACTTTTGTGAGATCAGGTCCACAACGCAGTTGAAGTAGCCTCATGAATGATTATCCAACGTTGACGCGAAGGACACCGAAGACACAAATCGAGTTCAGCGTCCACAACTCTGTCACCAACAGGCAGAAAAAAGCACGAAATTTTGCGACCCGACTTCCTGGCACGTTACATGTGAGGTGACGATCATGAAAGCATCTGTAAACATCATCACACAACATCATCCAAATAATCACCTCCTACTTTTGGGAGAATCTGAGCTCCCCACGACACCATGGGTCCGAATACATCGAATTTTCTTTTTCTCCAAAAGCTCGCTTGTCTGGAAACCCTTTCCAGGGGGGAACCCTCTTATTGGACATAGCCGCAGTTCTTTTCTTTTGCTTTGAGGTACAACACACTTTGAAACCACCCAGCAGGATAACGTGATCGACAAGATTTCGGCGGTCACGTGGAAGAGTGTGCACATATCATCGATATGCATCCGAGTGCGAATCCAGCGAAGGAGAAAACCGGAGCAAAAGACGACGGTCATCGATTTCGCATAAGAGCATCTTGTATTTTTGGTCACGGAGCAATTCTGTGCCCTGCTTTCCCTCGACAATTCTCACACTCTAACTTTGCACTCACGACGATATAACTTGGAATGCAAGATTTCGGCCGTGACGTCGCCGAACCAATGGCAAACTGAGTACAGGAATCATGAACGATATTATCGGGGACGGATGCGAGCTAACAAACAGAGGACAGCGCGAAATTCACCGCGAGTCGGGTACCATGACGCGACTTGCAGATATTAGCTCCGAGACAGAACGTCGATGTGGCCGTCTGCAGCGATGCTGCTCTGACCTCGCAGACTGCTGATTTTCGCGGCACGTATCGCGCCCATGTCGATGTTCACAGACAGACCGGCCGAATCGCGAGGGGCCAGTCCCATTGCGAGCTAGCCCGCGCACGTGGCACACTTCAGGACCAGTAACGGTGTCTGAAGGGCAGCGCCGCGACGCCGATCGGAGCTCGCTCCGATAGGATGCAACTGCGGCCGACAATGGCAAATTGCGGCCGAAGATGCGGCCTGCCCCGCTCTGAGGTCCCGAATGCCGTGACTCGTGACTCGGGCGGGCGGCAGGGAGGCGTTCCTCGTGTCCTTGTCCTCTCTTATCCTCAAACTCAGCGGCGACCGGAAGACCACCCACCCCGGTCGTAGGCCACCTTCGAGTCAACCCGTGTCCTACTCCTGCAACGAAGTGCTGCTGCTGACTTGACATTACAGAACAGGTCGACGGCCACGATTCACCGAATCGGGAATCCGACGGCGTAGGGAAGAAATAATGCGACGGCCGTCCAAAGGCGCCGAATCGATCCGTGTCCGTACGGCACGGGAACTTAAAGCGCCGAGGACAACCGAGACGGATTTGAAGCGAAATCCGTTGCCCTCGCGAAAAGTCCATCCGCTGATCCGCGCCCGGTACTTTATGTACTTTATGGCGCTCTTTAGCGGGCGAGGGTCCGAAGCGAGGGGGGCCACTTCGAGGCCACTCGCCGGAGGCCAGCGTGGCGCTGCGAATATGGGCCAGAAAATCCCTCGCGCCACCCGCAGCCACTCATGGCGACAAGCCCTGCGACTCTTGTCGCGTTTCGGTGTTTTGCGCCCGTCCACTCGTCGTCGCCGTAACTCGTCCGCTTCCCTGAATTGCAGCAACTTCAATTCGCGGCTGTCGTTTGAATCAGATCCATCCCCTCCCCATTCGATCCTCAGGAATGTCTAGAGCCACCGAATGTCGCCCTTTTCCCATCACATTTGGCGAATTTATTTTTCCCCGCCGAACACATAATTTCATGGCTGCTTGATTTCGGGACGACTAGTCTGGACTTGAATATCGCTCGAACCAAGAAGACTGGTCGTCTCGAACGCACTTTGGTGATGGATTACTGTAATCGAGATTCTGGGTTAAGTTCGTCGGATTAAGACGTCATTAGTTCGTAATTCGATCGAGTTAAGGGGCAGAGAGTGATCAGCGGGGAAGCGCAAACGACGGAGGTGCATGGCGGAAAAGTGGGCAGAAGTGGCCGACGCGAGGGCATTAGGGTGTGTGACCAAGTGCAGATCCTGAGCCAGAGCCGAACTCACGGGAGCCCAGCCTCGTCTCTCGACGCCAAATGCGAGAATCGAGAACTGTGGCGGCAGTGGCCATTCAAGAGGGCGGGCCATGAGGTCGACGGGTCGAGCAAGGGAGCCCCGGTCGGAGGTCCATGTGCGACCGGAGGAGGAGAGTCGCGGCTACAGGCCGTGGGTTCATCGGAGCACAACTGACCCGAGCAGCAGCGACTATTGGCCGCATCTGGGTCCTACCGGGAGCGTGGCCACCAGGAGGTCGCAACGTGGTTGGCTGCATGCTATTCGCCCGTCGCGCATGTCCTCGGCTAACCACCATGATTACCCGACCGGCCCGTGGAGGGTGGGGGGGAGCAAATTTCTGACCCGAGTGCCCGAGTGGCCCGCCGCAGTCCGAGGCTGCCCGAACCCTGCGCGTCCTCCTCGACGCGCTCCTGCTTCTTCGGCTTGGGCCTGAAGCAAGCTCTCCAATTCTCTGGCTTCGTTGTGTTGCGCTCGCTGCGTCGTCGTCGCTGCGGGTTCCATAAAGTGTCAGTGGGGTATTTTGCGGAGAGCGTGGGAGGCAGGCGAGGGACTCTTGTCGGTAGATCAATCAATCAGTCAAAGCCTCTTTCACTGAAGCGCACGAGGAACCTGGGTGGCCACTTTGCCAACCCCCTGTTTGCCTTGGAGTGAGAGATTTTGAGGTTGTGGAGTGCGCGGCCAATGCTTTGCGGACGACTGAACCCGCTCCGAAACCGTGACCAGTGCTGAGGCCGTTAAGGAGGAAGGAATTGTACATGGTTCAGGAGGTAAGATCAGATACTATCAGTTCTCACTTCTTGCGCCGTCTTTTGCTCGAAGGGTTCTGATTCGGGCTAGCTTTCTGGTCCCATTCTGTAGATACCATAGGTTCAAATCGTTGCAGAGACCCGTGAGTGCCAGACTTAACATCATTTGCTAGGCAAGGGAGGCTACTCTGCTCGTCATTTCTTTTCAGGGTTTTAACATTTCGCGGATCTGGCCAATTGAAACCGTCTCAATCTCATGAAACATGAATGAGAAAGAACTACATTTGTAGACTCTTTCCATGCATTGCCGACATGGGTCTTCAGTTAGGTCTTCTTTTCGTGACCGACGATCGGAAAGACTGAGACATGTGCTACTTGGGAAGCTTTTGTTCTTCAGCACTAGGATGGTTGTTCAGGTCGAGGAATAATCCTGAATTGTATCGCTCTTAGTTAAGGCACATTGGATTTCGTGCGCGGTGCTGCCTTTTTTACAGAGAATTGGCTTGCACATAAGTGTATAATCAAATGAGATTGACAGTTTTAGAGAAGAAAGCATGAAGCCTGCCCGCATGGAAACAAAAAATTGGTCACTTTTTGGCCTTTTATCTTCATATTTATGGGACGTGCTTTCAGGAGGAAGATAAATTTCTCAATATATGCCGCTTACGAAGTGCATCCCATGTGGATAGTCTTCTGGTTGTTTGTTATCTGGTTTTGTTACAGAAGACCTTCAATCAAGCAGTACATGATCTTGAAGGTGTTTTATCACCAATTATGAGTCCGAGAAGTTTGTGAATCTCTCAGAGGTTTTTCTTTATTCTTCACTAAATTTGATAGGTTTTCTGTACCTCATCGCAAGATTCTTAATGTACCTCTGAAGTCGGGACCTGCTGGGACCTCTGTCTCATGGACTCGAGTTTGACGTCTTTCACACAATAAAAGACATAAAAGTTAGGTCCTATCATAAGAAACTTAGGGGAACTCATTTCTCATTCTGAGAGAGCTGATAGCTGATCTTTAGTATCAGATTTAGGACTACCTTGTTGTACTGCAATTCACTCGTTTGATTTGTTTACAGGTGGGTGAGCTGTAAACCTATTCCCGAGCGTTTATTTAGGTTCGTGAATCGAACTGCTACAATCGTGGTCCCTGGTCCAGGTTGACTGCAACTACACTTGGTCGAGCATGAAGCTGGGTTGTGTACACGAGCAACCGGTCTATGTGTCAGCTTCTCACTGTGGCGCCAATCGCTGCTGTTTCCTGGCAATGAATAGCAACTGTAAGTTCCCCTGCACGCTTTCCTGCTTCTTCGAAGCAACTGTCTTACGCATGCTTTTGGAGCACGAGTGTGTGTGATATCCCTCGCCTTTCCTCTCGGTCGCAGTGAGGGAGAGGGTGGAAAGACATCTCGATGTTTGTTTGCACCAGGTCATGGCTGTGTTGGGACGGGCATAGTCTCTCTTCTGGACCATCAGCTGACGCCGTAGGAAAATATTGCTCAAATTTGGTAATGTGAAGTGCTTTGGGGCCAGGGGTTTCAGAATGGCATCACCGAAGAAAAACGTCGTCGTATTTCCCGCTTGGTGTCTGGATAATGCTTATAGACATAAAATTTGACAATGGAGTCCAAAGTCGATGTATGACAGAAAGCCTATAGACAAATCGCCTTGGCCATCTAGCATAAGTGGGCAGACTCATTTATATGTCCAGTACGATTCCGCGGTTGCTCATCAAATGTTTAACAACTTTTAAACGAAGCTAATTTCGAGGATGAGGATCATGATTACGTAGGCATTGTCGATTTCAATGATGAGCGGAGTTTCAGGGCTTACCAACCTCAACAATCTGATCAGCAATGTTTCTCAGTTGTGACTTCTCTGCTGATCCGGAAACTTATCGTGCAATTCAACAGACGGTTTGCAACCGACAGCTTTGTTGTGCAAAGTTTACAGTTGCACGGATGTTTAAGCGGGAGAAGGGGCTTGCCAAGATCAAATTATGTGCTGTTTGTGGGAGATAGAGTGGTCCATTTCTACTCCCCCGCACAAGTGAGACTAATTGCAGCGGTAAGTGGGGGGAACTTTTCCGAGTCAACCACCAGTTTGGTGTGCACTTCATTCTGAAGTTTGGGTTAACACTATTATAAGATGATGGGATCCCTCACTAACAGTCTCTCAAATCTGTTCAACAAATGCGACATAGCAAAACATGTTATGTAGTTTCGAAAGTCTGACGTTTTCGCACTTTGATACCTGTTCGAAGAGCTTGCGAAGCACCGGAGCAGTGAACTTTCAGGTCATTCTTTGTGCGGGAGGATGCCTAAACGGTTACAAATATTGCGTTGTGAAAGCTTTTGTTATATACTGACGATCAAAATTTTGGACACTTTCAGGATCAAACAAGTCGCGGCTTATACCGGCAATATCGGTTGCAGTTTCGCGGAGTGCAGATTGAGCTGGTTATACCGAGTGTTGGCGATACCTACATTTGACAATGTGTTCTTCGGATGTCTTTGATTTGCTGGTTGATTTTCCCCTGCAATTGAAGACGGAGCCTCTCGACGATCTGTTCGACACAGAGCCGAAACCGATTCTGAATAGGAAACTACTTGACACTCCTACCTCGTTTTTCTGTTATGACGAGGAGCCGACAAATAGTATTCCCAAATCCCCTGTTCCCATGTTCAACTACGAAGAAGAAGAGGCGATTTTTAGTCCGAAATCTCCAACTCAAGCACTCAACTGTGATGGAGTAGACATGAAGTCGTGTCTGAGGAGTCCGTCTCCCTCCCTTAATACTGATGGAGAACAGATTAATAGAAGTCCCAAAACTTGCCCCGAGCCAAGGACCCCGAAAGCAAAGAGTAGACCTGAGTCTTTGTCTCCCCCAGCCGTCACGAAATCTGATTCTCCTAAAACGTCCGTTCTGACCACAGCAGATGGCAGTGCTCTTGTTGGAGGTCCTGTGTATATGAAAGCCTCCAAGCTTCACCCTTATGAAGACTTCCATTCTTTTTTAATTCGAGAGGGAGGAATAGGGAGGGATCGGTTGGCCAGACTTGTTAGCTCTCAAGAATATCCCCGCGCCGATGAGGACTTTGTGTCATTTCTTGCACGCTCAATTGGGATCAAGGACGAGCAATACGTAACCAACTTGAGGCAAGCTTTGAGATGTGAACCTATAATTGATTTTGGGAAGTCCCAAGGACCTGTGAAGATGGAGGTTGACTACTCTAAGCTTGAGGTTGGACCAGACGAGGATGCCATTTCTTTCTTCGTGCGAGCGGGGTCGTGGGAGTCGACTTCTTCTGTGGATGAAGAATTAGCGTCGGTGGGTTTGGACGAGGATGAAGATGCGGAGTCCTTTCTCAGACGGACTGGGAACTTGAGCACGTCTGGCCTGGAATTTGAATCTTTGAAAGACTCCCAGTTTGTACCAGCAGGAATGAGTTCCTTCATCACCGCCAAGGAGGAATTGGAGGCTTTGAAGGACCAAGTTTTAGTCCAAGTAAGCTCACCGAGCGAGCCGATGAAGGATGAGGTTTTGGTACAAGTGACGCCACCCAGCACTCCGGAAGATATGGAAGGTGTCGTTGTGAACAGAAAGAGAAGGGCGTCTGACTCGGAGTAACGACCTGGATTCCAACCTTTACACAAGGTGCAAGTGATATGAGTGCATCAGGGATAGCCAGGTTTCACCTCGTAGGTCTGGTTTGTGCACTGTCGATCGGGGCATTCACATGCTCGTCGATTTTCACCACGGCCGGGTACGTAAGCCTTATTTTTTTCAAGCTGCACCGAACCATGAAGTGTCAGTGCCTTGCACCCATAAGTCCGCCACATTCCATCATCATATGGGCGATTCTGCTCCCATAGATATGTATCTTTGGTGGATGCACAACTTCCATTTGAAGCGGGGATGATGATGAAAGCACTAAATGTTCTCAATATGTGAGGAAAAGTGTCAATGGGCTCCGTAGCTCATTTCGTCTCTTGTCATCAAGCAGTCGATTACCAGCTCCCTTTTGACTGCACACGCATATGGCCTTTCATGAAGGTCACTCCAGCGCACGCACTTGTCAGAAACGATGCACTAAGCAGCGTCGAAACTACCTGTTCCAGATCTGGTGCAACTACTGTCTTCGTCTGTCAACTGCCTTTTTCTCTCTGGGTATATCTGAGTGAAATGTATCCTAAGAATAGACTTCGGTGTAGTATGTACCAATATTGTTGTTGTCTTCACGAAGTCAGGGTTGTTGAGTCTTTATAGGCATCGCAGACGTTTTTGGCAGAGAGTCATTGTTCGACACCTGTGTTGTATGCACTTCGTGCATTCTCAGGCTGTACCATTATGAACTCCCAATTTTGCGATAGAGCTGTGGTCATGTAACCTCTGGTGCATCTACACCACATTAGTCATATGTATATTCCGAATATATCACATGCGTACCGATAACTTTGTGGATATAGTAGGTTAGCGTAGTTCTTTCACCGGTACAGTAAATCGAGGTCAGACAGGTGGCCATCCGCGTTTTGGCACAGCATATAGATGACATATGTTCTGATACCGATGAGTCGTCAAGTCCTAGTGATATAGTTGGGGAAGCTGAGTATGAGTGGGCACTTACGATTTTGTAGCAAGTCTGAGCTGAGAGCAACTAACTGACAAGTTTTCTTTACAGTACAGTTCCTTTTGCTCTTAGTGGACACTGAAGGCAAAAAGTATGGAAACCGTCTTGGAATTTAGTACAAATAAATAAAGTGCGCAGCAACCCAGTATGTCTCAACGTAGCCTACATCGGGGCATAGCGTGTATATCTTGTAAGCCGGCTCCGTTATTCAAGATGTATCCTGTTTCAATAGAAGACAGTGAGTTGGCTACGAGCACTTTTAGGTTTCTAAACGCATGGTTTGTTGTGTTCACATATCTGAGATTTCTTGATCAGTTCGGAATTTTTCGTCAGAGCCAAGCGAAGTCATTATAATAATCTCTTGACAAAATAATCTCTCACCTTGTGCATCAACCCCCAATTTCACCCAACCACATCCAATGATGAGTTGCAGCTTTATCCTGAATCTCAAAAATCTGAAGCTCATCATGAAGAAGAAGAGAAAAACTTCGAATGTGATATACCATGAACTGTTCGTTACTATATCTTTACATCAAAATCTTTATATATACATTGATTGTACCTGCATAGTTTGTTATATAGCAGCTAGAATGTGTTGGATAACCTCAGCGTTGTGATTGCTTAACGTTATACGCCATACATCTCTATATGGATCGGACTATACCTTTATCTATCATCTTGCCATGAAGCCTTTGGAGAATACTTCGGATCTGCTCAAGCAATTTTTTCATCCTGGCGTCGAGCTATTTTTCCATAGGGCTTCCCCTAAAGTATTGTCACCGCAATAGAGTTTCACCACATCATCTCTTTATGTCTTAAAGATATGACGAGAAAATGGAGAAGGAAAAAAAGTTAATGTGAAATTTACACAAAATATAAATGACAATTCAAATTTTCCAATGATAATGAAAGTAAATGTTTTTGTTCGAATTGATGTAATTAAGATCAATTGATCGACGGTAACTTTTGAGATGATATTAAAGTGAGAATTGATCTTATTTCTTGTTGAGCTTAATAGACTTTAATAAACATAGTTGAGAAATTTTGATTATGTAATCAAATATTTTTGAATGTATGATTGAATTTTTTTACGTAGATTTGAATTTTAGCAAATTATTTCGAATAGAATGAATCGATTATCAATGAAAAAAATATAATTTTTTTGCATTTTTATCAAGTTCAACACCTTTTGTAATAATTTTACCATGTTCTTGAAATAAATTCATCTTTGATATATATATGTATACATATATATAAACTATCAATACAGGACCACAACTCTTCTATGTATTGTTGTGATATAAAAAAGAGATTGTAGTCTCTAGGATAAGAAATGAGATTGCATAATTTATCTTTTTAGACTAGGGATTTATAATATCCTTTGATAAAACATCAATCATAGGTATTATTCCATTTATTCTCTTAGTCAATTCTAATGCTCTAGCACTTAATCTCTTGCTCTAGCAAGTATTTAGGTTTTGGATCTTGGCTCCATCATGCATTACAATTTTGATAAGTTGTGAAACTCAACAACAACATAAAAAAAAAACCTTCATATCTTTCGCAATAAGAAAAAATTAAAATAGAATTATAGTTGATTTGAGAGTATCAAGTGATGATGGTAAATGAGCTGATTATGAATCCTACATGTGAAATAATTTCTGATAATATAATTATCTTCTTTTGATTGGTGGCGTCAAAATCTTCAAATATAGAAATATGTAGAGTGAATAAACTCTTAGTTTCATCTTTGGAGTCATATGGAGCTATCAACAAGGATATTCACATATATGAGAGGGAATGTGCAAGAGCTTTACCATACCAGGTGAAATTGTGTATCACTTTCTCTAATCTAGGATGTTTCTTATTTTAAACATCTTGTATTATTTTTATGTATCTCAAAGAATATTGGTTAAAATTGATCACAAGAAGTAAGATCATGTTAGATGATATTAATATCGTTTGACTTTAAAAAATTTCATAAAAAATGGTTAAAATTTGTCACAAGAAAGAAGATCATGTTAGATGATATTGATATCGTTTGACTTCAAAAAATTTCATAAAAAATGGATAAAATTTGTCACAAGAAGGAAGATCATGTTAGATGATATTACTATCGTTTGACTTAAATAATTTCATAATTTTGATGCTGAATGACATATTCTCAACATCATCATACTATCAAAACCAGAGATATTTGCCTGATGGGACTCATCAAGTTTCGTTTTACCCGATAGGATCCCACGGACACTGTGCCGTCGATGAGCTCTAGTAAATGTTCTAATTTGAATATGTTCTTGTACCTGTTCTTGTATTTGTTCTTTTAAAAATATGTTCTTGTAACAATATTTTTTAATACGTGTACTTATAAAAATATGTTCTTGTTTTTCACTATCCAAGCTGCGGCTCTATCCGGTTGGTATACATGATGATATGTTCCAAATTTTTTTCACTGCTGAAAAAACCTCTCTTGTGTCTATTAGGTTACATACGATACTTCGTGAGCGGCACAAACTCGTTGCTCAGGTTTTCAAATTGTGCACGAATCATATTTCCACAGAAATTTAACAGATTGATATTAAAGTTTAGAGACATCGTGCCGTGCTGTGAGCTTTGGAGCTCTATGTGTAACCAAAGATACAAGTTTGGGATAAGCAAGTTTTTGTTTGCAACATAGAGACAAAATATCGTACTAACACGGTGATCGTGCTCATTTATGCAATAAATCAATACAATGGAATTAAAATAAATGTGAGAGCTTTATTTATTTCTATAGAAGTCTTTACACACCGTGCTTCTTATTAAATGCAACTCATATTTCCACTATCATGCTTCCTTATTTTTTAGTAAGTAGGAGTAGAAACTGGAAGAATGTAACTAGAGAGTGGTATTGATATGCTCATCATCTGAAGAAGTGCTGCAAGGACCTTTGTTAAAGTTTCTGCACTTGCCTGTATGAAGCCTAATGCTTCCACAATATCTTCCTCTTCCAATAGGTATGTTGCAACTACGGCCTTGAAGATGATTTATTCTTGATGTATATCCATGTTTGTATTCTCTCTCAAAATGGACAAGGCGCCTAGGCGTACATCATTTTGCAGCTCAAAACTGACTCAATGGTAATAGAAAGCGACATTCGAGTTGTTCATGTTGGAGTGGTGCTTGCATTTGGTTGCAACATCTTCTTGCATCTTAGCAGCATGAGAAACAAAGACACCTACAATCTGATTCTCATACTGTTGTGCCATGTCGCCAAATAACACTGCATATCCAAAAAAATGTGAGTCAAAGAAGAGTAAACCAAATCAAACTGGTAACTAATAACTACTAAACAATACTTCAAACTTACCTTTCCAGTTTGGTGTTTGGCCCAAAGTGACTTGTCCCTCTCATGAAGTATGCTGAGATAGTGAACTCCACTCTCTTCACTATTTTGCTTGAAGAGATACATTGATTTTACTCTTGAGTGCTATAGTAAAATAGTTGAGGAACGCAATGACCAACGCTGCCATATTCCAAGTTCTATCTGCACCTTGAAATGCTACCTGATATTGGTGATTTCTCCAAGTGACAATAGCTCACAACTCAATATAGATATTACCACTATGACAGAAAATTTGCCAAGTTGGTAGGACTGAAGACTCACAGAAAGGAAAAATCTTCTCACGGATTCCATGTCCAAACTTCCTTCTTTTGCAGCCTTTACATAACATGAATTAACTGTCATTTGATCTTAGTAGGAAGCCGTAACTATGGACTCTCCTTCCAATTGTCACGGAGAAAAATCTAAGACAAGATATCCCACTTAAGCTACAACTTGAGTTTGGCGAGCAGTCAGCTTACAACATGAAGGCTCCGACCACTGGAAAAAGTTTGCGTTGTCGGGAGTTCGTCGTTCGGGGTTAGTAAACTTTGTTTTTCAACCCATTGACGGGCAGCATCAACAAGATTACTACTGCTCCCTGTAATTTCATTTTTGGGAGCAATATCATATTTGTTCCCTATCACCAACGACGGTACTGGTACTCTTCACTGCCATCTTTAGTAGAAACTTTGGCCCTATACTTCCCATCGTCAAGAACCTGCCATTGTCCATAAGTTTGCAGGTTTACCTTGCGTCAAAAATTTGCTCAAAAAGTAAGAGTACACTTTATGCTCGCAGCTTTTGAACGTCGGAAATTGAACTTTTTATGAATAGAATCCCACAGTGAAACAATCAACTTGAAAGAAACATACTCTTGTATCTCCAACAGCCCCAAATTTATCTGTTCGGCGGGATTAGAAGTCACTTTGCCTAGTCGAGGTAGTGGAAATGCATGTCTAGACCATAATCGCGGATCTATCTGTCTAATATAGTGTGCAACATCTTCTCTTTTCTTTGTCTGTGACAATGACTTCATCTGTTCCTCAAAACGAGTCTTGGTTTCAACATATATCAAGGCCCAAAAAAATCCCCACAGGATTTACCAAATGACTGTTTAATGTTACTTTTCAGATGAAAAGCACCATGATCATGTATAGAACTTGGAAATACATCTTTCAATGCAACTAAAAGTCCTTTCTGTCTATTTGAAATCAAAAGAATATTTGGATCAGATAAACCTATTATGGAAACTCAAAGTAAAGTGCAAAACCAAGTCCAAATCTCTATGTTCTCAACTGGTGCTAAAGCAAAACAAAGAATCACCACTTCACTATTTCCATCAAGAGCAATGGCCATGAAAAGTTGAGAGGGAAATTTCCTCTTTTGTGTGTGACATGCATCCAAGCTAACTTGCGGCTGACAATACTTCATAGCACTACGTGTTGTTGAGGGGCATATAAATGCTTGATGAAAAATTGTAGAATTGATGTAAGTTGATCAATTAACTACACTGCCCGGATCAAACTCTTGAATTTGGGACATCAAAGCTGGAATCATATGGTAAGATTTTTGTTGTCCTCCTAAGTATAAATCCTTCACTATATCTTTAGCCCGCCACATCTGATAATACTTTGTATTTAACTTATAATCAGACTTGAATCCAGTCACTAATTCTCTAACAAGTACACGAATGTTGCGTGTAATTCTGTTTCCTATCATTCCGTCAGGCCACTGTGAAGTTTGTGCAGGATCTCTCCATCTACTCTTATGTCGCGGACATGTGTGTTCAACATTCAATAAAGTGATCACAAATGATCCCTTTGCAGTACGTTGGCAGCGCACTCTA